CGTGGGAGTCAAAATAGTTACGGTCAATATATTTTACTCCTTTGACTCCAAGTTCGCGGCAAAAATCAGACGGTGTTCGAAGGTGTTCCTAGTTTTTATACCTATGTAATTTTTAGTTGTGATTTTTTTTCCACCCTGAAAGTGGGCGTAGTCAAACTCAAAAGTTTCAGCAGAAATTCTGAAGTGCCCTTTTTAATCTTTTGATTAGATTTTAAAGAATAACTTGGAATTCCTTCAATACCAACGGTTTTTCGTCATTTCGCATTCACAAGATGAGTGAAAAAACTGATAAAAATTCATTTAACATGGCTTTATTTACAAAAATGAGACAGTGAAGGAACAAAAAAACAGTTCACGATTCCAAGACCAATGCAGGCAAACATGAACTAGTAGTGCTTTGAACTTATGAGATTCCAGGAATAATTATTTAATTTATGATTACTAAGCTTTTTTCAGAATTGCAGAAGAAGAGGAATTATTAAGTTCAACAGTTTTCTTTATAGGTATTTACAGAGATTATAAAAAGAGCTAGTAATGAACTTTGAAAGGCCAATTCTGTACGTATAGAAACAAGGAAAATTTGGGAAAATATATCTAGCTAATAATTTTAGTGCTCTTGCGGAAGCTCAAATTTATCTCTACTTAAATACTAGGGATAATTCAGTCAAGAGAATATATACTAAAAAAATTGAAACTCACTTCAGGTTAATCAGCCTTTAAAAGATTGAATAAGTGGCATCATTCTTAATAGAGGATTATTTCATCAATGCTTACACCAGGTCCTTTCATAGTATTAAAATTTCTTTAAATAAGGTCCTTTCATAGTATTAAAATTTGTTTAAATAAGGTCCTTTCACAGTATTAAAATTTGTTTAAGTGATCAATTCAGCATAAGATTTTCTACACTTAACCGAACATTACAAATTTTTTTACTGGAATAAATTCTGTTACGTATCTTTTAGAAAATTAACTAAGGAACTTGGGATAGTTTTGAGGCACTTCCTAGAGCCTCAATGTAGGGGATTTCTTCGCTACTGAGTACTTTGAGTGATAGAGTATGTATATGGCAACGTGTTTTCCAAGTCTTGTCACACTCATGACAAAGCAATAAAATTGTGAAAGAAATTAGGTGGTTCATAGAACAGAAATGTGATGGATTTCGCAATATATGAAGCTTTGAGAACCGTGACTACTCTTTCTTTATGTGCTTTGTGCTTACACTATTGCTGTAGTAAGGAAAAAAAACTTACAATAAGAGTGAATTTACACTGGAATACAATTTTAAAAAAGGCAGAAATAAGTATTATATGGAGTAAATACCAAATCATTTAATTTCATATACGTACGTGAAAAATCATTCTAAGGATCATTCAGTTCTCAAGAAACTAAGTTCGGGAACTTCAGAAGAAAAATTGATGTATTACAAGAGAAAGAACTCCTTAGTTATTAACATGAATTGACGACAAGAGAAGCAACTGATACGCTTCCGAAAGCACATTTACTCTACAATGATTATTGTTTATTTAAACCCTGTTTCCTCTTGTTGCGAAAGAATGTCAAAGTTGAAACTGATTGTTCAGAGTCTTTTAAGCCGAATACACTTTCATGTTACAGCTGCTGACAGCAGGCAAATGTGGAGTAAATGCTTCACAATTTTTCTGAACATAAATTCAAGTGCGCTAATTTTTTTACACTGTACAAGCAATAAAAGAAGATACGCAAAATCTGGACATCTACCAATTACTTTTTACACCAATTGCTCGATAGCAAACACGAATAAGCAGGAGGGGTGAAACCAAAGTAAACTTGAGAATGAAATACATTTAAAATTTGCTCATGCTCCATCTTTCCTTCATCCAATGGTTTGAATTACAGTGAATATTGTAATATGTATCAGGGAAATATGAATTATCTCCACTGAGTTTTCATAGGTATCTACAATTCTACCTCACAACAATTTAAAAGAAAAAAGAAGAAGAAACGATTGTACAAGCACACAAAGTGATAGGACAGTTCTGCATTGAAAAAGCAGTGATAGACACAATACAGTAGTAATGATAACAAATATAGAGCTCATAACAACCAGATAACAAATGTTCACAACAAAAAAGATAATTATTTTTGACATTGCTTTAAGATCATTAAATGCCTCCTGAACACTGCACCGCCGAAGCAGGAAAAAAAAATCCATTCAAAAGATCCATTTAAATCCATTTTAAGATTAACCAATATAAAATATTAGTTGCTATGAGCTGTTGAAAAATATGAAAATACTGTTCAACAGATCATGCTTAAAAAATCTGCAGGTAGCGAATCATACGGGGACCAGTCGATACATTTGCAATTAAGAGTTTGTTGGAATAAATATTATTTGGAAAAAGTCATTTGGATAAAAGCCATTCAGAAAAATTCATTTGGATAAAAGTCATTTGGAAGGGAAAAAAATGACAGTCCTCTTAATCATTTTTTTTATGTTTACTCCTTTGTTGTAGCGGAGTTATTATTTAGTCATTTGACCTTTGTCTAAAAGACTTTAGAGTAATAGGAAGTATTGATAAAAATCAAATAATTGGATAGATCAAATCAATTGGATAACCAATGCAGGTATGATACTTGAAAAACAAAACAAAAGAAAACGAAACTTAACCAATAAATTTAAAAAAATGAAAAACGCAAATCAATCACAGAAAATCTTCTTTGAAGAACACGAAAAAGAAAGAAAACATAGACATAAATGGCATGGCTTCACAGAGTTTGAATTTCAAATGGGTCTAAAAAAATATTTAGGAGTACTTCAAAGAGGTTTCATTCTACACCAAGATGTGTTCAGACAACAAACTTTGTATCCACACTTTCAAACAAAACCTGCGTTGCATCAGTTTAATTCTAATTTTGGAGGAAAATAAGTTACACTGATGATAATATGTAATAAATTGTGCTAATACCATGATAAATAGTTTCAGAGCAACTTACAGATACGCATTTTGGTGAGAAGAGCAGCATATTAAACCACGTAGGAGGTTTTCCCTGCACTGCAACACATTTGCAGCAAGTTTACTAATATATATGCAGAAAGGTGCATAAGTGATACAACGGATATCCTCTGGCTTCTTCTTTTCAGCACCTTTCTTCTGACAGGGTGTACTGTTCAGGCTTGTAACATATAATACCATGTAATCCTCATGTAGAAAGCAATGTAAATACACGATAGTAAAGGAAGGAAATAATGTTGAAAAATTATGAATATTCTCATGTTCGTTGACCGTATATATACCAAAGCGCTACGGTGAGTAAAAAAATATATTACTTGAGTCAAGCCTTACTTGATCGCTCTGAAAATTTCAAGTGGACAATATAAACTATTGTGAAAAAATGCTGAGTTAATATGAGAATCAGCAATACATTTATTTTTACAAGTAGGCTACTTAAAATAGAGTGCTTTGACCTAATTTACACCTATGCATACAACAGAGAGACGGAGGAGCTTAGAGTATTACTAAGAATTGACAGAAAAAGCAAGTTTTTTGATGAGTGCATGATCACGAAGAGTCAGACAACCACCTTCACCATTCAGAGAGAAACAACAGAAACTAGAGATAGAATTAATATATTATCTCTACCTCCCTTTCCCTCTGAATTCACTCTTGTGGTCTGACAGACTCCTCTGATACGCATGCCATAATGCGCTTACCTTAATCTAATGACTAAAAAATATCAATGATTGTTACCCAATACAAAAAAAAGACAAATTCCATAAAAACTAAAAACAGGCAGGTTTTGAAATCTTAAAAATTATTTAACAACTGAACGGAAATCAGAGGGATATATTGGACCTTGAAATCCACTGACTTCAATGTTAATGTGCATTTCCTTGACTTTTTTTACAGAGTAAAAAATTACTAATACATTTAATGCCTATTCACATAATGATTTCAAAATAAAGCCTGAAAATACTGGGACATTTCAAGTTATGCTGAAGCTGTGATGATGGATTTTTTTCTATAGAAAAGAATTTTCATCATAAGTACGCTCTGCTAACGATACTGAAATGTTCTGCAAATTATCGATACTTGATACAATAATGATGTGTCACACACAGCATTTTTGTGGCAACATAAATAGTTTAAAGACGTAATGAAAGTAGTAGTTGCCTGCAGATGACTTGCATACGCGGGTAACCTACACCCTGCTTTTCATCACAGAAAAAACGTATGCTTACAATATGCAGTCGTGTAACATAGACTGCGATTTTTGGGTGTAGAAAATTAGTTCTGATTATATCGTGTGCTGATAGTGAATTTCTTTCCTCTTTAAAAAGCCTCATTATCTGGTGCTATCCACTATTTGTTGCATGATTATCCTTCTGTCTTCTGAACGACAAAGTCAAATCTTTATTTGATACTGTACCCTTTGGAAAAACAAGAGAATGTGACAACAACCTGAAATGTGAGTGAGAGATGCATGATGAAAGCTGAAAAGTCTTTCGAAAGATCACAAATCAAAGGAAGTAAATTCCATGTAGACAATGTTTGATAAGCAATGGACCACTAGACAAGGTATGAATTCAAGCGATTTGATACATGTTTCTTCACCAGAATTTCACGTAGAACACGATTAGCGCAACGAATATTACTGAAACTAACTCCTAACGAAGATATCAACGTTTTTATTTTACATTGGTTACGAGGAATTTGAACTGCCCGCTCACAAGAAACTCAAAGCTCTACGAGAGTCAAATCGCGCACTACAACCGTTTCAGCAAGCTCCTCAATCGAGCAATGTTCATTTCTCACAATATGTTGTTCAAACTATTAGCAATTTGCTATAGCTGAGCCGAAGCGTCAAGATTGAGGTTGCCAGATTTTTAAATCGCAGATACTGTCATGATAACATTTAGCGCACGATGTGAATCACGTAGAGTATTGAGTTTTCATGAGCGGGTGGTTTAAATTTACGCATCAAGAATCATTAATATCTCCGTAAGGAATCCATTTCGTTAATTTTCGTTGTGCGCATTGTGTTCTACGTGAAATTTTAGTTAAGAAACATGTATCAGAGTGCTGAAATTCGTACTTTGTCTAGTGGTCCATTGAACAATACCATTTGAGTATGAAAAATGAGATGAGGAGTGGGGAGGTTCCAGCAAAGGAATGTGAATAACCTGATTTTCTAAAGAAATATTTAGGTATACAAAAAATTATTCCAAGGACGGAGCAAAATTAAATTTCTGTGATATAAGGATAGTGTCAAAATGGAATAAAATTTAATACTGCCAATATTTTGACAGCCTGTGGTCAAAATATTTTGTCTTGGGGATTATTGTAATCTTGTCCAAATATTTTTGAAATTTTGACGATCTTTGAAAATACTAATTAATGTCGACTGGTAGTTAACAGAGATAGAGGCATGGAGAGGAAAAGAAACTGTCATGAACAGATCATTTAGTAATCACAATCCACATGGTATCAAACAATTCACGAAGAAAATAAAGGCGTTCATGGTTTGGATTTGAATGGTGTAGGAGAGTATTTTTACAAATGAATGAATGCATAGTAGCTACCATCAATGAGAGTGTAATAGACGTAACTTATCATTTTACGGGAAAAAAATTTTCCAACAATGTGCATTAAGTAAATTTATCAGTGTCTTTACCATGTAGTTAGTAAAACTATGATTTAGGGCAAAATATGAATCAAGAGGTTGGTTAAACTATCCACCTGCTAGCCTCCTCAAAATTTCTACCCATTAATGAAAATGTATAACCTAGGTGTTTCGAATGAATGATTCGAAATAAATTATTTGAGCATAATTTCCAGCACAGAAACAACATTGGAGTAAGGAAAATTTGACTCAACTACCCGTTTGAGACTTTTGGAAAATAGAGAAATCAGTCAAATGTAGCTATCTCGGATGGATGCTGGTCCCAAATAGGAATAGTTGCGTTGGACAAACCGTGGGCTACGCAAAACCACGGCTGTGTTTGAGGTGTCTCATTTAGACTTCATCTTCTCATGTCGGGCTTCTTTCAGGGCACGCCTGTTCATTGCATTGAAGTACAGTGAAGGCAGAAGCGTACGCAGCCATATTGCGATTCGCGGTAGGTAAGATGCCATTACAACTTCTTTCTCTTCATATACAATCGCTCTGAGTATTCTGTTTGCCACTTGTTTTGGAGTGTAGCCGTTCGCAGTTGTTTCATCCATGACTGAAAACCAAAAATTTAAATTAATTGTTAGTTTATCTTCAGCGATTTTGTATTCTAATTCTAATTCAGTGTACTGATTTTACCTCATAAAGTTAGGAGCTGTTTTGCTGCATGACTTCCTATTTGAAGGTCTTCTAAAATTGTTTTACTGACCCTGCGGTAACTTTCCAAAATGTGAAATACAGCAGAAATTGAAGTGGAAAAATTTAACTTTTAATATTTATTACATTTATTTTGTTCCAAGAGGGGGTAGCTGAAATGGTGATAAAAGCCTCGACCAAAAGCAAAACAATTTTTTTTGTAAGTCAATCATACACTTTTATTTAGCACTTGGCCTCCTCACGTAACAAATTAAGAAAATGCTACTACCGTCATATTAGAACTTAGTGATTATTTTTCATTATCTTTACTTTCAAATACAATTTTCAAAGTAGAAACTCAGATGGGAAAATTTTAGTTTAAATTTTAAAATAAAATATACTGAATTGAGTCTGAGTCGTTTGCTTTGTCAGTTGGTTGTACTTGTTTGTGCTAAAAAACTTCAAACTTTATGGACAATTAAAAATGTGTGAAAAAAAATATCCAATGCATCCGACTTGAATATTGACAATTCAAGTAGAGAAACATGTACAGTCAAATCTCCCTTATTCACAAAGCTGACTAAAAAACACAAGATGCTCTTTCAAGCATGTTCTGTAAAAATTGTATGCAAAAAATCGTAGGATACTCTATTGGAAAAATAAAATACGAGCATATTTTTAATTAATAATAATTAATTGATTAATTAATTTTTAATTTTAATTAATATTGTCAATGTAAAAGCTTCTAAGATTTTGAAAAACAGGACTTACTCCCATAAGTTTCTCCAGTTCCAGTCATCGCATTGAGCGACAGTCTAGTCTGAATGTATCCTGGGCTAAAGACAGTGACTTTAATATTATGCTGAGCAACTTCAGCACGCAGCGTATCGCAAAAGGCCTGCAGGGCGTGTTTGGATGCTGCATATGCAGACCTTAAAAAGTGTAAAATAATGGTACTGTAGTAATTGTGAATAGCACGATTATTTCAGGATGATAAATGCTTACCAGATGGTCAGAGGAGGCACCAATTTAGTTAGATCCTATTGTTCCTGAGGCCTGTGTGTTTAGTTCCTGTTTTATAAAACTTCCTGCATCTTCATTTAATTTTCTGATACCAAAATTAAATTGCGTTGAAGAATGATGCAAAATATTAATGATGAAACCAATGAAAAAATAGAAAAGAAGTAAAACAACAATAACTGAAAAAAAGCAAAATTAAACCGAACACGCGTGATGAAAGCCCCATGCACTTAACCGAGTAATAAAATGCAGATTGAGTTTGTGAGGCAAGAAGGGACTTCTTCGATATTTACATTCAAATTTTTTGCGTTGGCACTGTTCACATTTACTGCTGATGACATTTAGTTGACATCTTTATGTCATAATGAAAATTAAGTCACATGATGGAATGATAGAGAATACAATTGATGAAATCAATAAAGCAATAAAAACAAAGAAAAAAAGAAATGAAATGACAAGAACTAAAAATTAAATATAAGAAGTAAAGCAAAATAAAATTGATAACAAAAGCAACATGTTCATGCCTCCAAAAATGCAGCCCGAGTTAGTGAGATGTATAGAGACTTCCCTAAGTTTGAATTCATGAAGTTCAACTATTACTACTGACCAAAAATAATTGTGAGATTTAGCAACATCTCGATTTGCTCGACTATAATTCATCAGAATCTTCTGAATTATGTTTAGAAGTATTGACAAGACGCAGTTAGAAATTTGGCGAATTGAAAAATATGAAAAAATATCCACTACACAAGGCAGGGGGTAGCAATTTTGATTGATGAGCTTACCGCCGACCGAAAAAAGGGAGATTCGAGGAATAAGTGGCTGCTTTGTGAATGCACAGCTACAAACTTAGTTGTCGCACTTGGTTTCCTTCCCCAAGTTACCTGAATTGGATAACTTGAATTAAAAAGTTCTTATCACCTCTCTTTAAGAAGAAGGATTCAAAGAAGAGAAATGGTATTTGCGTGGACGGTTTGCAACAGAAAATATCATATCTTAAAAGATGCTATTTCATACCTGTATGGAAGAGCTATGCGTCCTTGAACACTGCTGATAGCAACAATATGTCCTGACCGTCTGTTTATCATATGTGGTAGGAGTGCTGAAAAATAAACAAATATATTGAAATCCGTATTTATCATTAGACAAAAAATGCGAAGGAACTTACAGTTTAAAATACAGAAAATTAAAACTTCATAAAATACCGTCAAAAGGGTACGGTTTTATGCATTACATTAAAAAACAAGAGAGGTATATTAGAGAGAAGAAAAAAAATTGTATTTTGGATCTAAGGAGTGGAATNTCGCTGTGAAATGATTATATTTTGACCAACTGATTTAATTTTGTAATTTTTCATCTGACTCAAAACAGGTCTTCCAAAGTTATGAAGGCAATTACAAGTCGAAAGAATTATTTTAGAAAGTAATATACATCTGGTATGGTCATGTCCAGAGAATGGCAGGAGACAGGTTGCCGAAGAAGGTCCTTGACTGGGTTCCTCCTGGGAGAAGACGCTGAGGGCGCCCAATGAAAGGTTGGAGGGACGGGATTGAAGCAGAAATGTTGAGGTGCTCAATCCCCCAAGATTTGTGGTTTGAAAGAGAGCAGTGGAGGTTAGGAGTCGTAGAGCGCGAGGGAGTGCTGTAAAGCGACTTGTATGTATGTATATACAACAGTTTTATAAGCCCATAGGAACTACATTTGACCCTTTACACTGTTGCCTCAACTTACTCATGTACAAAATAAAATATGCTAGAATATATTAGGCTGTCAAAAGCAGCTACGCTACAAACCTCTATTTTATTCTCTGGGTCCAAAATGTCATTTTTAAGGTTTCTAAGTTTCTTTGATACTCCCTTTATGTGAAACATGAGAATTTACCCCTTCAATCTAGTTTGAAGAGCCTGAGTTCTGAAAGGACCTGATGAATGAGAAAAACACCGAAGAGCAAAATTTCCCAAGGCTATTGAAAATTGAAAAACCCTAAACCTGCATACAGAGAACACTTTTAGAAAGGCAGAGGAATGGAACATGTTTAAAAGATAATTCTGCCGTGCAACGCAAAAACGCTGTAAATACCATTTTACATTTTTTGAAAACAATGTATAATAGCAGAAAAACTTGTGAACCTTGGGAAAATGTTCTTACAGATTTCTTTTGCAAATACTATCAAGAGCATAACCGGAAAATTTGAGGTGCATGTGTAAAACAGTTTTCATTTTTTAAAGTGTTAAGTTCCAAAAAACGAGGGAAAATCTTGATGGATTTATGGCGTTTTTGCTTAACACGGCAGAATTATTATTCTTCTTGAAATGATCAGATTTGCAAGGATACGTCCGTACAATAGTGAAGTCTGGTTCTAGCACTTGATCTCAAATCAAAAATTTAATTTTTTTCTTTGTTAGAAATTGAGGGACTGAGATGATATTTTGTAGAACCCAGATAAAATGTTTAGATTTAATGGAACTTCAAAAACTGATTGGCTTAACCTTCAAGGAAAAAAGATAATACAAAATAAAAAATTGATTATAAAACTATTGTTCCTATATGGCTACATACTTTTTGAAAGTTCTGAGAAAAAAACCTAAGTTCTCACCTTTAGTCACGGCAACTTGCCCAAAGTAGTTGACAAGCATAACTTTCATGTCAACATCAATATTGGTGTTATTGATATCACCTCGAAAGCTAATGCCACCATTATTAATCAGAATATCGATGTGTCCGAAGGCTTTCATGGCTCTTGTGACATGGTCTGGTAAAACATTTAGGTCTGATAGATCAAGAGTGAGTACAAAAGGAGGATACGTTGTTACAGCCTGAAAAGAAAAGGTAAAGAAAGAATTAGCATCTGTTCAAGAAAAACTTTAAAAAAAAATGCAAATTTCATTCAGATCTAGAGGTGACTACTAAATTCCAAAAAGATCTAAATTCAATGTTCCATGACTTTGGTCGCCTTGTCGCTTAATACATCAAAGTTGAGATGAGAGGCTAACACGAGGCTACTTATCTATTGAATATAAAATTTGTTTTCCATTTTTTTTTTACAGAAAAAGAAGCTTCTATACAGAAAAAGAAGCTTCTATACAGAAAATTGATGAAAAAATTATAGGAACTAAGTTATAACAAGCAGAAAGTATGAATAATGCATTTCCAGCGGCAAATGTGAAAACTTAATTTAAAAAGTATCGGAAGGCATTACTTGCAAGAAATTTACTGCTCTGTGGAGCTAAAATAGATTAAGTAATAACGTATGTACTTCTACCTTTTCACTCTTTTACCTTCAAATGTGAATTTTTACTGCTTCACCTCTTTGGTGCAACAGGACTTTATTATTTTTAAAGAAAATCCCATATTGTTATACATAAACCGGATACATCATTTGATTTGCGTCAGCTAGAGGCTCTTAGATTAATCCTGTGCACGCTAACTTCGCGACGGCGCCGGCATGCCGCAGCACTTTGAGCTACTATTTCGCACATTTCGTATGGATTATTCTCATTTAAATTGATAGAAAAAAAAGTATGTACATATTCAAGGAAAACATAATGTGTGCTTGGTGATTATTAAGGAGGTTCCATGACTTCCAAGTCAACTTTAAAGATTTTCAAAGCACTTTGATTTTTTCTTTTACATTTTGTAAAGGAAAAGGTTTTATAAATATTGGCCACGTTTTAAAAATGTAAGTGTTTTTAAGATGAAGTAATATTTTCATTTAAAAAAAAAAAATACATATACATACGCATAGGGATGAGGCATATTTCATATCAAAAATTTTAAGGATGAAAATAAAACCAAGTATTCACCAATGACAATATGAAAAGATGAATCGAAAGAAGAAGGTAACATTTCATCTAAAAAATGAGTTACCATAACAACACCTCCTTCTCTCTCAATTTTCTCATTTCGATATTGTCAGTATAATTTTACAGACTAAAATATGATGCTTGGACCAAGTCACTGTTGCCTATTTTATGCGTGGACGTAAACTATTTGATAAAACAGGTGCGCGGACAAAAAATCTTTGACGGAATGTCCTGAAACCTCACATGAAATTTCACTTACGAAAAGTGACGGGTCTATAAATGACATTGTCTGATAATTGAGGAAATGAAAGCTGAATACCAAAAATTGTTACGCTAGGTGCTCAGATTCAAACGAGCCGCTCATGCAACTTTGGCCAATTGAGGGCCACTCTAGTTGGTCCATGCAGCGGCTACCTCACTCATTGATCCTCCAATGGGCCGGAGATGATTGTTGTTCTCGTTAAATATCCACTGGTTTGACGTCACAAAACTGACTAGTTACGGCCTCTCCATTCTTGTAGGCAACGCATGCATTTACATACCAATGGGATAGGCTGCTGCTCATGGAGTAAAAAGTCGTTGTCAAGACAGAAAAATACTCACCGAGTGTTTACGATAAGACATGAGCTCTGAGCGCACTCTCTCCAATTCTTCTTGTCTTCTAGAGGCTAAAATAACTCGACATCCAATCAAGTAGAACACCAACGCAAGAGCTTCACCAAGACCAGAGCTGGCACCAGTGATCAATACGACCTTAAAAAATTAAAAATTCAGTTAGCTGAAACGATCTTCTCTACTAATTGATGACTTAAATTATTGAGGACGCTCAGATGTGTGCCGTTTAAGTCCGACCTGCTAAATTCAATTGGAAGAAGATAATGATAAACATTCCGTTCTCTGCGAACAATTCAACAGTTAGGCACTGCTTTAGCACAATCTTAACCAAGATATGAAAACTCACAGTGAGAATGTAGTTGGCTACCTGAATTTCAAGCTTTGTGTTTACTTCATTCAAAGATGTTAGGTCAACGCTTCGGCTTATTCATGGTTGAGCATCATCCCCCTGACGGTGACCTCGCTTTGGGATTTGGATGAGAGTGAAGTGGCTACTTGATGTTCCTCTCAGCTTGCAAAATAATGCGATAGAAGCCACTATACTATGTAATTGGATACACTTACCTTCCCCTGAAGTTGAGATACTTTCTTCTTGCTCCTGAATAGTCTGTAGATGAACCAGGCAGGCAGACTCATTACGCCTGGTAACCACCAAATAGCACTCAATCCACTGGAGATTTCACTCATGATTTTTACTTTTTTATTGCACCTTTGGCGGACGATTGCAAGAAAATCGAATGTGAAACAATTCCGGACCTGCTAAGTGCTGAGAATTAAAGTTGTGAGCGGCAATGGAGATCTCAGAAACTTGATTGTCTGATTAGACACTTAACCTTAAAGTCTGAAAGGAAAAATTGAACTACTGATAAGGGAAGAAGTTCATAAGTATGTTGCCGGATTGCAGCAGATAGCGCTACCTTAGAACCTAAATTCAGAGAAGATACAAAGTTGAAGAATTCAGAATTGATCATGTATAGTTTTTAGACGAAACAAAAGAAGCATTTACGGATGGCGAGCTAGTTTAGTATTATTTGTGTAATCTGATGTTATCCACTCTTAGTGTCTTAGTTATTTAATTTGTTGTTTACATGTTGGCGTATTGTCACATGTCATGATGTTTACATGCAGTAGACAAGTGATAAGGATAGTGATAAGTGGGTTGTAAGTTTTGTAAACATTTTGCCAATTGAAACCAGACTGTGAAAAGTTCATAATATTCGTTTGGGTTTCCTCCTTTTTCGGCGTATCACGTGTGGTTAATAATTGAAATTTTCTGATCTATATTTCCAAATCATTTACACGTCCAATGTCATTGCTACATCTTCGCCCAAAGCAATTTAGGTAATGCCTTTTTTGTCTCTACCGGAGCTGTGTACATAACTCCGCTGGAATTGTTTTCTCCCCGAGCTTCGAGCATCCAGCCAATGCCTAGCGATTCTACAAGGGCTGCATAATTCTGTGCACTCAACTACCACCTCTTCACAACAAAACGGTATAGAGTTGATGATTTAGCCCCAAGTTACTGAATTAGATAAAACAATCCTCAAACATCATCATGAACAAATTCATTAATTGCTGCAAAATCACGATCAACGCTTCCTATGTATTTCACACCTCACCGGTGAATCATAATACTCTTGCTAAATGTATCCTTTTTTAACTGCCTAAGTTTATTGCCAATGTCAACTTAAATAGAGTCCTTGTTAAATATGTTTATGCACTTACAGATGCTACAGGAGATCAGCTTTCTTCAGTTTGGCATGATGGTAAGTACAAGAATTTCGATGCAAGATCATCTGTTGCACTCTAAAGTGTGCCAAGTTCTCTGGCATGGACTCAATGTCTCAAGAGTGGCCAACGAGTCATCTAATTTTTTTAGGTGAAATGATTGCTTGACTCTGAAGTTATGGTTTTCATTTTATGCATTCTCTTATCTTTGCCTTCCCAGTATTTTCTTTGACCAAGCTATTATTAGATTTTTCAAGTTCATCATCCAGGATGAAATTAGGTAAGTAAGTCTGAATACTAGGTATGAATCATCTGCTCTTACGTAGTATCAATACTATTTCAGAATCTTGGAAGCTTGAAAAAATGTAACTCTCATCAGAGAAAGAGATCAAATTTTGTTGTGGCTGGACCATTGTTCGGCGCCTCTTGTGCCCTTCCCTTCCAGTCCACTCCGGTCGCTCTCCACTTCCCCGCCACCCATACCCGAGGCTCGGACTCCGACGCTCAGAAGGCTTTGCTCATCATCGCCGAGCCGGGTGGTCTTATCACCGTGAGCGTTGGAGTCTGAGCCTCGGGTATGGGTGGCGGGGAAGCAGAGAGTGGCCAGAGTGGACCAGAAGGAGAGGGCACAAGAGGCGCTGCACAATGGTCCGGCCAGCGAAACCTCTTACGCATATAAAACGGCAAATATCTCGAAAACCGCTCGTGCACTCTGGGATTCTCTCCATGAGAACTCTTGATCAGAATGACTAGCTGAGCAACATATCCAAGTTTCATCAGATTGTAGAGAGAGCCATTTTCATTAAGGATTGTGCAGGGTTTTTTCTAAGGTAGATCTACGCAATTTTTTACAAGTACAAAATGTCAACATTAATTTTACCTATTATTTCTTTTGTTGTCAAGATTACTTCCTGATTTTGTTAAAAAAGTATGTGCAAAAGTTTTAAAAAGGTGATGAAAACAATATGAAGATGTCTGGCAACGTAGGGTCTAATTTTTACTAGCGTTATTTAATTGCGATGCGTTTAATTTTTATTTCACCTATATAACTTTTTAAAATTTTATGAAGCGGATTGATTAAAGCACTTCCTTGACAGTTGAAACAGTTTTTTTTTTTCTTTCATTTTACTTCTCTCCTGTTTTTTTCAGTTAGTTTTCAATGGGAAGATCCTCTGAATTTAGACTCTCAATTAACCAATGATGAAAAAGCGCTACGAGACTCTTTTCACAATTTCTGTCAAGAGAAACTAATGCCTCGCATATTGAATGCAAATCGTAAAGAAGGTAATAGTAATTCCTTAGAATTTATTTATTATCAGTATTAACCGAAATTCTACTTATATCCAGGTAAATAATCTTTTGACTCTTTCCGAAAAAATCTGAATTTAAATACCTACCTTCTTAAATATTCTGCCAAATATCTCTGAAACGGAGATGGAGCAAGTACATGCGTGGAAAAAATTTATAAAATTTGCCAGTCTTATCACCAACAATAGGTATCAGAATTATATATTACATACATTCAACCACACTGGCCTACAAAGAAAACCTGCCCCAAATTCTGTGAAATTCTGAACAATTATTATCTCTTTCCACAAATGTCACAGAACAAGAATGTCTAGTAATATTTTCTTTGAGGAAACGGAAGATCAGAAATTTTGAAACTTTGTAATGGATTTATGTCCTTTAATAGTTTCACGATTAACATGTAGTTCACCATTGTCTCAATACCGAATTGTTAAGAGAGTTTGCGTGTTGTTTTTTGATTATTTTGGTCAGAAGTCAGCCTCGGTGGTGTAGTGGTCAAGGCAGTTCGCTGCCAACACTGAGGTCCCGGGTTCAATCCCCGGAGGTGACTGATATTTGAGGACACTCAAATATCAGTCATGGTATTTGGTCATGATATTTGAGGACACTCAAATATCAGTCATCGTGACTATGGATGACTATGCCACTCCAATACCCTGACCCTTCGAGGTTACAGGGTGTGGGAGGGACATAGTCACCCAGTAAGTAATCCGTCTGCACTGTTCGACTGGGTTGTGAAAAATCGGTAATCACTCGTAGTGTGCGCGACTGCCAGCGCTACCTATCAGTGTAGATTGCAACAACACAGTCCAACTCGGTGGAGGCATGGCCGTGCTCCGAAAGTCCGTGCTCTGCAGCGTCTGCCACAGTCTTTGATAAGACCTTCCGTTGGCTATCAGACGGCCGCTGAGCCTTGCGGGAATATAATTGATACTCAATGTGTCAATAGTACGAAGATAAGTTAAGGAGTACGGTCCAACTTCGGGGTGCACGACGGCAGTTGCCAGTTGCCTTGGCCCCTTGAGGGCGCCTCGCCGGCCAGCCCGGCCTTACTTACTTACTTACTTACTTATTTTGGTCAGAATGGGCTGCCATGGCCAATCATATTATTTAACCTCTCATCATAATCAGTTATTCAAAACATTATCCATCTCTGGTGAAACTAATTAAGTAAAAACTAAATTGTCAGCAAGACTTAATTTGCCCCATTTTTCTGAAGAATATTGTTCCTCTTGGTTTCCAGTTTTTGACCGAAAAATTATGAATGAACTCGGAGAATTTGGTGCCCTCGGGGCGACAATCAGCGGTTATGGTTGCGCTGGGGTTTCATCTGTAGCATATGGGCTTCTTGCCAGGGAGATTGAACGTATTGATAGTGGATATCGCTCTGCAATGAGTGTTCAGTCATCGCTCGTCATGCATTCCATTCAAGCCTACGGGAGTGATGAGCAGAAAGAAAAGTATTTACCCAAACTTGGTAAGATTTTTAGCTTTGACTTAGTTTTTCTTCTTTAATGTACTGATATTTTTCAAGTTTTGAACTTAGTCTCAGAAATCCTTTCAGATTTTAAACAAATTTAAACGGGTTGCCTGTGACCATTCATGAGACAAAAGTTTTTAGTATCCAAAAAATTTAAAAATGAAGATAATAATACTAGGTACTTAAAATAATTTTTTACAAACATTTTTGTCTAAGCACCGCCCATAAATGTCCAATCATACTGGAGTTATTGTTCAACAGTAATAGTTCTAAACAATAGTTTCAAGGCAACGCTTTATTTTTTTACATCTCTTTTGATACATGCTAAAATCTCTGAATCTTCTGCAGCTGTTCAGTACATATCAGTTTTTTTCTCACCTCTAAATACAGTTATCCCTAACTTTTCATTTGTGTTGGAAGACTTTTTAACACTACAAAATGGATTCTTGAGGAACAACTCTTTCGCCTCTTGCAGGAATGTTTTTGAAAGGCTATTTTCAGCTTAAGCTACTTGAATATTTGATTTTCCATGTTTGGGGCTCACAGTTGCATATTTCCAATGCAACTTTATAATTTGAATTGGCCCTTTAATGAACTACTGAAAACACTCACAACTTATTCTCAGGGATACCAAAAAATGTTTAAATTGGTAACTCTAATTTCAATTTTTTTATTGAACTTTTCTATCAAACTGAAAAAAATCTCCATCCCAAAAAAATTGGTTTCCTTCTTCTACGGTTCATTTTACAATAGTTTTAATAACAAATTACCAGGGAGTACAATTTATTAAGATACAATTAGGTACTTTCTTAAAACTAAAAGGTTTGGATCCTCACTTCATCACAGAATATTTCCAACAGCTATGCCACTTGTCAATGGTGAAACTGCAAATATGCGCATCTCAGTTGCAGTGTTTCAAACACAACGAATTACAAGGGGGTATAATTAGGTACTTTCTTAAAACTAGAAGGTTTGGATCATCACTTTATCACAGAATAATTCAAACAGCTATACCACTCGTCAATGGTGAAACTGCAAATACGCGCATCTTGGTTGCAGTGTTTCAAAGTCTTTGTTACTATTTTCTTTTTACTTTCTCGCTCCCCTAGGGTAGAGGAAGTATTGTCATTTTAAAAGGAGATCAACCCAACATTATGACTTGAAATTTTCACAGAGTATTCGTCATTTAGAGAATAGAAATCTCCAAAACTTTCAAGAGATGGTGCCGAGTAGTTCTTCACACAGAAAATATAGTATGATGGGAAGTCTTTATCACTGCAAACCGAGATATACATCCATTTCTTTACATTCGGTTACTGTTAAACCATCAATATTCTGTATTAGGCAAAAGGATGTCTTCTTCTACAATAGTATGACTCCTGGTGTTACCGTCATTTAAATTCAACGTAATATTCAGAATTTATGTTCGTGAACAAGATATTGTTGAAGTGAACTCTGAGTCTTATAAATCACTGTTTTTTCAGCTACAGGAGAGCTAGTCGGCTGTTTTGGACTTACCGAACCGAACGCAGGCAGTGACCCAGGAGGTATGGAAACTAAAGCAAAATATGATAGTAGCACCAAGTCATACATATTATCTGGATCTAAAACATGGTAAGCTATTTAGTAAGTTTCTGGAATACTGAATTAAAATCCTAAAAGAAGAAGTGCAGATGAAATTCAGGAGAATATTTAGACATGCATTGCTTGAGAATCCAAAATATACAGTGGAAGAATGGAGCCCTTGCCTGCATCAGGGATTTATTGCGATTTTAAGCACTTTTTCCGAAACTTGATGATGCCACTGGTTTTCTCTAAAACGAATTCCCAAGCTCGAAAATGACTTTGGAAGTTGAGGTCATAATGGAGAAGATTTCCCATGTTAAGCTGGAAATCCACCTCCATATCCAGTCGAACTCTCCATGAACAAATAAGGAGCCACACAAGCAGAGTTGCCACTTTGTTTAGAATCTCAAAGGCTGGAAATCCAGCAACCTTGCTAGTGTACTTGCTTCTAATCTGTGTATGGAGAGTTTTACAAGATATAGATGTGGACTATTAGCGTAGTTCGGAAAATCCACTCCATTACGACCGCAACTTAAAGAGTATTTTTTTAGCTCGGGAGTTCTTTTCAGAGATACTCAGTAGCACTATCACATTTCTTACAAAATCTTGAATTAGAAGAAATATTTAGATTGCAAATGCCCGAACGCTTGCAAGAGCTCCATTCATAGAAACATTAGGCAATGTGACTGTCCCTGTATTCTCTACGTATCGTTTCAACCCATGGAACTCTTCGATAATTTCTTTGAGTTTTGGCATGGTTGAACATGATCATGTGCAAAGCCTCCTGCCTCTTGCAAAGAAATAAATCTTACTTTATCTTTTATTATTCTACCCTAATGTTAGCAAAAATCTAGAAATAATTATTTATTTTAAGACTCAATGCAAAGCTATCTGACCCATCTTTGGGAAAAGTAAAATATTGAACAATATGACGAAAGCTAATCTCAAAAAATAACACAGAAGAAAAGAGAAATTGTCAGTTCTCAATTTTTAGTCTCATGATGCCTGTTTAAATTATTTATGAGGTTAAATTTTACTGTATACTCTCTATTTTGCATACTTTTGGTCCATAAATGATGCAATTTTTTTTTCCTTAAACATTTCAATAAGTAAAATCTAATCTCACTCATTCAAAATTAAAAAGAAATCAGCTAGAATGGACTGTATAAGAAAATAAAATCATTGATAAACAATCTTACTGCCAACTCGTCAGAAAAATTAAAAAATGTTAATTTCAAATTTCAGGATCACCAACTCTCCTATTGCAGATATTTGTATTGTCTGGGCTGTGTGTGATGATAAAAAAGTCAGAGGTTTTATTGTAGAGCGGGGGACCAAAGGTTTAGAAACACCCAAAATCGAAGGAAAATTTGCCTTAAGAGCATCTGTAACTGGCATGATACATCTGGATCAAGCTAGAGTCCCTGAACAGAACTTACTACCTAATGTGGAAGGACTTAAGGCAAGATTATTTATTCATGAATTGTCTTTGAAAGTAAGCAGTCGATGTGCCTAGTTGTATGTTTGAAAACAAACTTAAGAACCTGGATTTGAGTCAGGAATATTTGATCAAGACAAAATGCAATGGTTTTTTGAGTGCTTGCTAGTATAGCAATAGGCTATTCTACTTGATCTGACCCATGTAGAGCACACTCAACGTTTATTATTTTACACATTTTTTAAGCACGGCAGTAGGGCTCATTTTATAAAATCACTTGGATGTGCCATAGTACAGCACACCAATAAACCAATGCTATTCAATGGGCGGTCCAAATTTTGTTTCCGTCAGATCTGTTTTCTCGTGTTTGAACTGTCATAATGTCAAACCCTCATGGTCATTCACTGGAAAACCAAATTGACTATTCAAGGGGAACCCTTTGAGAACGTTTTCCCGTCAAAACCGTATTATTTCATTTGATAGAATCTTCAAATAAGCTTTTCTACACTCAAATGACTCAAATTTAGAAGCTTAAATCCCGCCGCAACTTTGTAGCCAATAATTGTCTTTGATATAAGTCCTTGTTTGATCAAAAGCAAGTTAACGTAAGGTGGCTCTTGAGAGGCCTCCATTATCCCACTTCAAATTTTGAGAATAAAAATAAAAAAGTAATGAGCATTGTACAAGTTGAAAATTGCTCTGGAGGACCCATTACAGCTACAGAAGCCAAAATCAGAACTTCATTTTGAACAATTGATTGATTTAATTCATGAAAAGGCAACTCAACTGCCATGATAGCGAAATAGCAGTAACTGCATGCTGGGATGAACCTCGAGACACATAAAAGCATGTGCTAACTATGGCCTATACAGAAATGTGCTTATATTCTCTGTTATTAGTTGGTCTGGGGAGCTGGAGCCAAGCTCCGCCTCCCAAACACGAGTCTGTCTACGAGTGTAATAACCTAATTGCAGTACCGTTGCAAGCCACGATAGGTCAGTTGTCTAGACCACCGTTTGCGTGCATACGCAAGATCCATATATCGAGGCAGGAGTTCGAGTCCCACCGGGGAGAATTTTTTAGTGATTGTATTCAATGTTTAAGACCAATCGTCAAAAAAATAATTGAAAGTAATTAATACCAGATAAAAAATGTACAAACATTTTCTTGTGAGTTAATATGTTAAACACAAATACTGGAATATACTTCCTTCATACAATCAGCCACATGTTCACCCAAATCAATGACGTTCTTTTCTTTTTTCAACGAAGTTAATTCAATATTCATGATCAATATTGTTTTCCTAAATTTAGCAAATAGTACCATTTGATACAAATAGCCAAGACATTAAAATAGTAATTCTCCAACATTTCAGTTGTTTGGCACGCTTTTCCAACATATTCATGTTGTAATGTCTTCTTGTTTTTAATTGAATTTCAACTTTTTAACAGGGTCCATTCGGTTGTCTGAACAATGCTAGGTACGGCATAGGATGGGGTGCTCTAGGCGCTGCTGAATTTTGTTTCCACACAGCAAGACAGTATGTCCTCGATCGCCACCAGTTCAATCGCCCTCTTGCAGCCAATCAGATTATTCAAAAAAAACTTGCAGATATGTTATCGGAGATTGCTATTGGACTCCAAGCTTGCATCCAAATTGGTCGCTTGAAAGATTCCGACAAGTAAGTTGAACTATATTTATCATACTTAGCCAGCAAGATCTTTTAGCTTCAATAATTTACTTAGGAAAATTTGCAAATCATAAGGTACAAATAATATTTGAATTTTCACATCTTCAAAGGTCAATGGTTCATTGATATCATTTTCAATTATGTCTGGACAGTTTTATGTATGTAACTTCGTTTCAGTATTCGTGTGTTCATCTCAAAATGTAGTAAATTATCTGTCTCTTTTAAGCTTAACAATTCATTTTCGTCTCTTGAAAATTTCGTTGAATATTCCCCAGTCTAGGAAAATAGAAATTTGGTATGAATTTTCTCACTTTGAAAGAAATGACAGAAATTAATGATGCCACAAATTCCAATACATGTTTTCTCGTGTCACATCTTATGAGATTATATCTCGTTCTGGAAATGTTTTAATTTATGCCCTCTTGACTGGAAGTAGAGGTTTACTCTGATGATGATGTATTTGCAGCTTGTATCCTTTTTAAGTAACATGCTAGATACGTTCAATGTATACCATACTTACATGCTCCTCTTTGTGATTGTTCTCCCTGTAGAAAATTTTCGTTGTCAAAGAAAATTTTCCATTCTTTTGCAGATTAGCAGTTGAAATGATTTCTGTGCTAAAGAGGAATTCCTGTGGAAAAGCCTTGGAAATTGCAAGGACAGCACGAGATATGCTGGGCGGTAATGGTATTTCAGATGAATACCATGTAATTAGGCATGTTATGAACCTGGAGGCTGTAAACACTTATGAAGGTATTAATACCATTCTCACCTTTTAAATTTTTAATGAATCCTATCGAATTTGATGTCATTTTACTGAGCGTTTATATTGCTGCACATAATGGTTTTATTTTTACATACATGAGTTGACAGATTATTAAAATAACATCTTATTGTAAACATCGATCGTGAAGCAGCACAAAATAGTGATAGGTTTTGCCTCCAAATTACAAAAATTCACCTCGAGGAAATATGTATTTATGTAACACTGTGGCTGGCATTGTAAAATTGATCGTCATTTTAAGCAATCAAATTGAAGTTTTTAATAAGGATAGTTGATGCCTTTTTTGACTAGGACTACATCCAATGTTCATTAATCACCTATTTTAAAAGACCTTAAGTTTATTGTGTGAATTTGGTTTTATTTGTGAGAGAAAATTTTCCAAGGTAGGCAATTCAAACTATGATGATCATAATCCGTTAAATTAAGTTATCCATGAGAAACGATACACAGCAAGCACTAAAACAACCTTCACTCTGTATCAATTCTTTTTTTTTTACCTCAAGAGGTATTTTTCATTCCAAAACTCCATAATCTGTTTTAAATCTGACTGAAGAGAGAGCCAGACACCTCAAAAATTCCTCATCCTGTGAGGTTTAATTCAATTTCCAAATGTGTTTAATTTTGCTTCGGTAACCCTGCCCGTCCTCTTTTTCCAGGTACTCATGATGTTCATTCTCTAATTATTGGTCGTGCCATCACAGGAATCCAGGCTTTCAAATAGTTAGAATATATACTGAAAATCAACTCTGGCCCTCACTCAGGTAGATTGTAGTCGTATCTCAACAATGAAAATGAGATTCAAATCAACCTAAAATGTTTATCGATGCCTGTATCTCTTTTTATTGTTGATCAATGTTTCACCGGAGACGGAGGGACTCCAAACTGCCTAAAACTCATAGTACAATTAATTCTGTTACCTAAGCTACTTTCCCTCTATTGGGGCGAGCGTAAGTTTGTGATATTTTATTGTTTTAATCATAGGATTATTATACCTAATTTTTCAACTCATTATGAATTTAGAAGCCCAACCACAAGTACATCCTTAAAATGTTTACAAATTATTCAAACGCAATTTTTTTTTTTTTTTTTTTTTTTTTTTTTTTTTTTTTTTTTTTTTTTTTTTTTTTATTTTTTTTTTTATGTATCCATATTTTAATTGAATGCCAATGTACCTAGGGCACCCTAAAAGTCACTTGTCACCAACTGTGGTCCAAGCAAACCAAAAAAGCCAAGAAGATGCTTAAGATATGTTTAAAAAAGCTTCTGATTACTTTGAAAAAGTGTAATGTCAATTGGCGGTTTTCACCTAAGATCTGTGGTAAATGTTAAAATTAGGTTTGCATAAATAGTCTTAATACAAGTATATCAGAGGTGAATCTCCCAAACCAGTATCTCAGTTTGCAACATTGTAGACCTCCTTTCATATCATAAATGTAAAACAAGGCAACATGAAATCTTGAAACCATCAATGATTTCCTTCTCTGTGTGAGGAACATTCCATGAAAATTTCAAGTAGTCAAGTCAAGTCGTCCTCCTTTGAAAGAATATATAGGGAGCTGAGATTTTGAAACACTGCACACAAGATACAAGGTTTGGGAGTTTAACCGTCGATGTTTATTCTCCTCAACAGTATTCACTAACTGCATCTTCCCTCTTTTTTCACACACTCATAAGAATTGGTGCCAAGACTTTTTTTTATCCTCTATGTATGACAGAGATTTTTCTATTTTCAACAATTGTTATCACTTAGCAAGGTCAATCTTATGAGAGGAAAATCTAAGTACAAATAGTAAGATAAAATCTATAACAGCAATGCATGTAACTGATTGATCAAAATCATACTATACCTACTACCTGAATATCGGATCTGCTCTACAATTCTACATCTATTTGAAACGAAAGGAGGCGAAAATTGTTCATCAAGTTGATTTAAAAACACCTTCTCCTTCATTTTACTGCTGGAGCCACATATTTCACAAATACACAAAAGGTTTATCAGGAAAAAAATTTAAAAAATTATGTGTCCATTCAGCATATTGACGGTGAGACTTCCAAATGACGTATCTCGTCAGCGGTGTTCAAAATTTTCTGCTCCTACTTTACTTTTTTACAGGTGAGGAAATCTACATCATTCCTTGAAGTTTTTGTAGAATTTTCTGCGCATACAGAGGAAAAATCATGGCAGTTTTTTAAAAATAGCCGTTGAGTAGTTTTCCATTTAAAAAGTATATACGACAGAAAGTCTGCAACGTCGCAAACTGAGATATGTGGTTTGGGAGTTTCATTGCCAATATCTAAGAAAACTTGAGAACTTTCTTTTATAGTCTAAGTAGGTACAATGAAGTCAATTCAACTAAAATTTTTCTCCTTGGGCAGGTACCTTTCTTCTCTCAACTGATGGAGTTGAAAATATTGATGTGTAATAAACTTCGTTTACCCCTGTTGAAAATTTGAATTCTGTCAATTTTATTTCTTGAGAAAGCTTTCATTCAAAATGCTCCTGTTAAACTGATGTTACAGTCTGATGATCCGCCTGTTTTTCAGCATTCTTTTTCAACTTAAATTCCTTTTTTTGTGGAGTGAAGTTTTGGAATTTTTCCTCATAATCTGTTCGACTTCATATTTTATATGAAATTGTGCTGTTGTGTGATGTTGTGTCAGTTGCCAAAAATGTTTGCCCAGAATTGCTCTGAAATTCAAATTAATTAATGCCCCAATCACCTGTCCTACTGATTATTACGAAGTACCTATCTCATGCGTATTGTTACTTTTCAAATAAATCTATTTTTGTACTTAAAAACGAATCCATTTGATTTTTCTCCCAATTTTCGAAGCATTGCTGTCTCTCATTCCGATTTCTTTGCCGGTTGGTTTTATGATTGATCATTTCTTGTACGTTATCCAAAAAATTTGTAAAGTAGTTAGAAGTATCAAGTTTTCATGCAAATACTTTCCCTATCATCCTTATAAGCAAGTCTAGAATTGAGGCGGCAAAATATCTCACAGCCTCCTTGCATAAAAAAAATTCTTTCCAATATCTATGAGAGTCAGAACTGCTGGAGGTGCACCATTTTTGCCTCAGCTTAAATCTAAAAACGCTGAAATTTTTTCAGTTGAATTCAATAAAATCAATTCTGTACTTTTAAAATAAAAATAAGTAATATTAATGGAATATTTTGGATTGTATGTTTAAAAAAAAGTTCTTAATAAAATTATTCCCTTCAACTCGGGAAAAGTAAAAAAATTTAAATTCTTGCAACCCTGAACTCTGCACAAGCACACGAATATTGTGATATCTATACCTTGTGCTAAGTGCAGTTTTTGCTTTCTCGAAAAATACAAGTTTTAAGTTTCGAAATTACATAGATCTGTAAGGTGGAAAGGAAGTTCAAACTGACTTTTTGATGCTTAAAAATCGAAACTCAGAAGCGAATTTTTCTCAGATTATGCATTGAGAATATTTTCACCTGGCAGCAGCAGAGATCATCAATACCTCCATTTTTTCAAAAACTGCCCCTTCTCGCCTTGTCCTCCATGCCCTTCGGTTTTCTTTTCCCCCAGGGCCAAAATTTGAAAAAATCTTTTGATGAGCTTGTCTATGGAAATCTCACACTGAGCGCAGAATCCTAATTTTTCAACCTCTTAAAATTTGCCCCACTCTCATCCTTTTTTTACTAATTTTTCTTCTTAATAGGCGGGAGGGGAAGGCCTACCCCTCCTGCCCTCGCGACTCGTTGGGAGAGGCCTCACTGTCAGTCGCAGCACAGTCAAATAGGACAATATTTACGCCGGATACAAGCGATGAGCGAGTAATAAAACCATTTATGATCCATTCGACGTGACTAAAGATGCATTATGAACACATGCGTCACTGTCAGTGAGGAAAAAAATTATCTAGCTTCATACGGCAGACGGAGAGACACTAGATTACACAGTCTCTCGGTAGCCAATCAAAATCGGCCAAATACTCCAGACTCTACGAACGATGAGACCCCCCCCCCCTCATCCGGTCCGCTTATTATCAGCGTTCCGCCCTTATCGTTCGGTCAATCCGCTGACGACATTGTATTCCAGAATACGAACTAGTAGAAGTAGACTAGACATTAGACAAGTGTGCGAGTGAGAGGATAAGTAGCTGCGAAGTTCTTGGGATCGATCGTAATTATCCTCGATCTCCGTTAAATTGTCGTGTTTTGTGTCTTTCGAATCATTAATTCAAATCAGTGCCTCCCCCGTTAAGTATCGGACAGCCTTCTAAATCATTTTTTCACTCTCACGTCCCATCGAATCTGGATGTTTACCCTGTGCTAGCTACCATTTCATCACCTTGGCTGGTAAGGTAAGTCGAGAGAACTCTCTCAGAGCAATGTTTGTTTTGCACTCTGACGCAAGCGATTTTGTCAATTCATTACAATCTCGAGCAAGCTCCTATTGTAGCCTTTAATAATGTGTAGGTCTGGCCTAATAATTGCCATTGCAACTTGCCACATTCCCAGCTTTCCAATTGTCATGAAAAATCTCTCACTCTCATGATAACAGCCACTTTCCAATTTTTGTGTTGATTCATCAGCATTCAACTAGATCCTGTCATATCTCTCTTATCAATGAAGCTCTTGGATACCGTAGGTAACAATTATATATTCAGTTTAACTGCTCCTTAATCATGTTTTATATTGTTATCACTATTGTTTGTTATGATAGTGCCAAAGCTTCATCGTTTTCAACAATGGAGGCTTCAGGTATTCCATGTTCCTCAATCAAAGCTAATTTTTAGCTTTATGCACATGGAATATGAATTCACTGCAGCTTAGACATAGATAAGCTCGTACAAGGCTGCAATAATTTTGTGAAATTGAGGCTATCAACTGATGCTATCCAAGACAGCTTGATATGTGCACTCTCTGATAAGAGGTTTCTCGTTAACTTTCCCCGTTCCTTGCTCATGAATAGTTTTCCTCATAAGTATGTCTCATTTATTATTCTCAAAATCCCATCTCTTGATTAATAGTGTGATAGGTCTGCTTCAACATCAGTCAGATATTGAAAAATTGTTTTTGTTTTATGTGGCCATGAAACTGAAAATTTAGGCGTTTTCTTGAGCTCTACCAATCAACCAGAATACTTAAGTCACAGTTTATCTTGTAAACGTGGTCAGCAGCACTCTTTGATACCAGTATTTTTGAAAGATTTCATTGATGTGGATTCTGACTATCATTAATCATCCTCTATCCAGCAACAATGCTATTACTTAGCTTGCTTTTGTAGCGTGGATGCACTTCTGTCCAGTCAATTACTTGCCTCATCCTATTGATTTTATCATGATTTGTGCACTCTTATGTCTAGGTATTTGCAAGTCATTAAATAATGGAGATGTCGATGCCCGTCACACTAATCGTCAAGGCCCCCAATCAGCAGATTGAAGACCAGACTATTAAGTGCGAGCTTGACTGGTCTATCAAGCGTCTTAAAGGTTATCTGTCTGAAGTGTACCCTAGCAAACCAGTAAGTATCTATTTGTTCATTTAAAGTATCTTAGACCATGCACAAGTAAGTAGGAGATATTCGTGTTTTGCTGGTGAAGGTGTACTGAAGAACTCTCTGCACTCCAACCCTGTGCCGTAGTCTTGTCGTAGCCCACTGACACACAAAATTTCCAAAATTGCTCTGCTGAGGTATGCAAAGAGATCTGACAGCTGTTTTAGTTGGGGTCAAACCAGTGTTTGATGAAGGAAATAGGTACCACAAGGTTGCCACAGTCAGGGAAAACTGGGAAATGTCAGGGAAAATGATGAAATTTCAAGGAAAAATTGATGAGTCACCTTGAATTATGCCTTCTAGAACGGGTTTGACATTTCCAACAACAAATTTTGCCTGAAAATAATTTTTAACCATGTTTTACAAACCATATGGCATATCTCAATTCTCAGAGAATTTCACCAAAATTCATCAGGAAAATGTCAGGGAATTTCATTTTCTAAATTCTGTGACAGCTGTGGTACCATTTATTTTAAGTAAACTGAATGTAAGTACGAGCCCTGCCATGGCTCAATTTTACTCCTCGCCAGAAATCGTCGTATGTACCTACACCTAGATAAGGGAAAACAGAATCGTGAAGATGCAAAATCACTCCATTTCTCTCATTTATCCATCAGTGTTCATGCAATTTGTAATTATTCATAAGCTGTTCAGTAATTCAGAAAAAGAGAAAAAGTATCATCAATTGCAAATTTTGTCCATTTGTCTGGCACACCTGTCACTCTCTTGAAGAAGTCGATTTTGCATTGAATGACGTTCGCAAATTCAGTTCAATTTTTTATATTTTTTCTCCTGCCCCTGATGGTAAAGGCAGTCACAGAATTCCTACCTTGGCTATTTGCCAAATCTTTTTCGAAATATTTCAAGGGGAGTGCAGAAACAAAAGTAATTAGTTTTACTAAGTACTTAATGCTAAAATAACCTCTCCCTTTTTTCTACTCTTCGTATATTCTCCGAGTCCTCTGTGCTTCTCTTTGATACGAGTGTCCACTCAGCTCCTATCAGATCAAGAGATACGATGAGAACTCTCCAGAAGCCCCATCTATTTTCATAAACTATCATATTAGCTCGCTCTGCTTCCTCTCACAATTTTCTCTCTGTTTTGCTCTCTGAACTCACAATTAATAAATCCTCTCAATGATAAGTTTTTGCTGTATGAGCATTCAAATGTTGCCAAATTTCTGCTGGGAAACCCTGATTATTGGCAATTCAAGCATGTATCCTCCCGAATTTTGATGGAATTTCTTGCATTATCCTATATTCTAATGTGTCTAAAAAATTCATAGAAAATTAACGTACAACGTGTATTGTGTAAATATGATTAGCTTGTCAGTGGAATTTTGGCAACCTTTGTAAGCTCATTTATCCCTAGCATGGCAGAGTTAGCCTTGATAGACATAAGGTTACTGGTCTTTGCCCTCAATTCCCAGTTTGTTTATGAACAAAAACAGTGTCTCCTTTTGTTAAACTCATTTTGGCTGGTTTTCATATTCCTTTGTTGACATATTTGATAGATAAACAATTACTCGTAATTTCCTCTAAAGTTTTTAAAAAAATGTCCTAAAAATTTTTACGAGGATATGGTCTTCATGTTTTCAAAACCACACTGTCCTAATTTGAATCGTTCAGTTCCAAAACAAAATTCAACTCCGAAAATTTAAAAAATTTGCTGGATCCATTCCAAATAAAGCATGAGGGTCAGATGTAACCCAGATTTTTTTGAATCTACCTGAAGGTTGATCTTAGCAAATTACATATGTTTAGTTCAAAAGTATCCCATCTGCAAATTTTTCATTCTCTTTTATCTCTGAAGATACCTAATAAAAATTCAAAACTTTGGCACCCAGCTGATTATTATACCATAGAAGTATTTGTAAATCATTGAAAACTATCGGATCCAGTTAGTTTTCTTCGTGTTTGTGTTTTTTGACTGATTGAAAGCTTTGAAAGTCAAGTATGGGTGAT